TCTTAATATTTTTCCGAAATATTTTGGTGGACGTCTTAAAATATAATAAATTTTATAATTCCAATTCCAATTCCAATTTTTTGTAGTCTAATGTACATATGTTTGTGTATGTACATATGTTTGTGTGCATGTATATATGCACATATGTAGCACAAACGAAAACAAATCTAATAAGCTGCTCGTTGATATAAATGCGAACTGTACTGATTGTCAAAAATTATGTGTTTGTTGTACATTTGTTCATGTTTGTCTTTGTGCGTGTAATTTTCTAGAGTAGTTTTGTGCTCTCGCTATCTCCTTGTATTAACTCGTCCTTCGTTGGTATACTCTGATGAACATATATGAAGATGATAGCAAGGCCAACTTATATAAGGTAGTGTTACAGGAGCAGTTGAAATTTTCGTTCGATGTTTCTTAAAGAAAGCCATAAACGTAGCGACCGTTGGTTCAACTTGGTGTAGTTTTGCTCTAGATTGCACCGTTTGTGCGCCTGTTGAATGAATTTATGTCTTGGTTGTATGAAAGATCAAAAAATTTGGATTTTCTGGCAAGTTGCACAACTTATCGCTACATTAATGGCCATGTTATACAAACTCATTTAATTTGCGTTTATTTTGTACACTAAATAACCGAAAATGGATAACTCAGCCGAAATAGGTACGTGCTTTCTTTGAATTTTATAAATGTAAGCCGAAACTATGAAATTGTAAAAATGAGATTTTACAATGATATTGCTAATGAATTTGAATGAATTGAAAATGGGCTAAATCGGACAATACCACGCCTACCTCCCATATAACAGTAGTTTTCAGAAATACAAAAACTGCGATATTTTAGTAACTGCTGATGATTATTCACTCAAAATTGATATTTACAATGATTTTTAGACGAAAAATAAGAATATTATAAATTTGTGGAAAATGGGCGTAGCCACGCCCACTTATTATAACATGTGGACATCTTGGAAACCGCTCCACCAATTTCTCCCAAGCTTGGCACAGTTGTTGGCCTTGGTACAACATACCAAATAGCTGAAAATTTTTAAAATCCGACAGTAACCACGCCCACATCCCATATAACGGTAATTTAGAGAAATACGAAATCTTCGATAAATCAGTAAATACTAAAGCTAATTTATTGAAAGTTTATGCTTGCAATAATTCTTTACCAAGAAATACGCTTTTGATAAAATTTTGGAAAATGGGCGTGGCACCGCCCACTTATGACACATATACATATGTGTTTCTCGGTAATCGTTCTTCCAATTGGTATGGTTATTGTGCTTGCCACATAAAAGCAAATCGTTGAAAATGATTTAAATCGGGCTAAAATTACTGCCACTTTTCATATAACGGTAAATTTCTGACCAGCTTGAAACTTCGATATTTCGAAATTTAAGGACACTAATTTACTCAAAATTGATAGTTGCGATCCCGTACGAGTCCGGACTAGTCAGAAATAGTCAAAATCAGTCAAATTTTACAGGAAATCGATCCCGTACTCGGTTCTCTGACTATTGAGAGGACAAAAAAGAGAGTAAATACGGTTCTCTCTCTGTCAGAAGTACCAGTTTTAATCCGAGAATTTTTTGCTGGTAAATTCTGGTAAATGTGTCAAACGATCAGCTGTGGTGTGTTTGGCAACCAAATTGTAAACAAAAGAAAAGTGCACTCTGCTAATTCATGTTGAAAAGTATTTAATTACTTGTTTAAGTGGATTCTAATGAATTTGAAAGTATTTTTGGTTATTTACATGTGTGAGCTGAGTGTGTTTACATACAAAATAAGCAAAAATTTACAACCAAAATTTGGAGGTTATGTTGAAGTTGACAGAAGATACCATTTTTTACTAGAAAGCGATCCCGTTCTTTTCAATGTTACTCTCTCGCTCTGAGCGAATTTTTATTTTTTGACAGTTTTACTAGTCCGAGTCCGAGGAATACGGGATTGCACCTGATACTAAGAATAAATAAAATAAAAAACTTTTTAATATACCACGCTTTTATAAATGGACTAAAAAGTGGAAAATAATACTTCTCAGTCCCATAGAAATTTTGGCAAAAGTCATTATAAACAATTTATGAGATTGAAAACGAAAAACATGGAGCGCATGCAATACAAAGCATAAGATTTAATTGACAATAGTCAAACTAGATAACATAGACCTAAAATTTCTACAGCGAAAGTAAACGTTTCAGATCGATATCAAGTGGTCGTTAATCATATACCCACACACACATGTACCTATATTACTTTTCATATCACTTCAAGTCTACACATTACATGCGCCCCAGGCTTTTCATTTTCAATCTGATAAATTGTTTATAATGACTTTTGCTAAAATTTCTATGGGACTGAGAAATATTATTTTATACTTTTTAGTCCATTTATAAAAGCGTGGTATATTAAAAAGTTTTTTTTTTTTTAATTTTATTTATTTTCTACTTTTTAGTCTTGTCTGTTTTAAAATAATTCAACGATATTAATAGATTGGTGCACACACATGCATATACTATGTACATACATACGAGCACCAATTGATTTCATTTAAAGAAATAGCGTGTCGTCCATTTCCGCTGTAGCGTATGTAGTGCATATTTTTAGGCGCAATATTTAACTACTTCTAGAGTTTGATGTATTTTGATATGATACGAGGTTGATGTGTAGACTTTTAAAGGATCTTTGCAAAGCAAAGGTTTTATAGATATAACTTGTGTCTGGACACACAACATTGCAAGTTGATAAAAGCGTTGTAACAGTCCCTTAAAAAGAAGTAACATTATTTGAAATTTTGGAAAATGGGCGTGATACCGCCTACATATGACTTTATAAGTTTATCTCATTATGTATAACTGAACGTTCTATCGAAGATGTTTAAAATAGGGGTGGTAGTTTTACCATGTAACGCTAGTATTCGGAAAGGTGAAAAACATATATTTAATACTTGCGCCAGGTATTTAATGTTTGGATCCGCCCGAACTTAGACTTTCTTACTTGTTTCCCTTAATTTAATAAAATACTTCTTCCTAAGTACGACTTAATTGCAGCTGAAGCCGAACCTATATTTTAAGTTGGTACTTAGCCAGAAAAGTCGAAACTAAGGCGACTATGAATAGCTTTAGTTGTAACTTAGTATAGTTTCGACTTAGTTGTGAACTAAATATGACTATGAATATGCGCCAATATGTTTAAAGACAATTTTATAAAAGTTGATAAATCTGAATTTTGACCGGTTTTATTATACAAATACTCCTGTGAGTAGCGTAAAGTTCTCGAGGGTTTACATTCAATACCCTCTATCTGCAATTTTCAGAAAAACTCGTTTGTGATGTTGAAACCCATCTGGGACTTAACTGTAATTACTGATATAAACTCCTATGCTGGATTTCCACTAGGCATTAAATGGCAAAAGGGACAAATGACAAAGTTGGGCATTAAAAAACAATCGTGTCATTACGTTGAAAAACAGTCATTAAGTTCATTTCCACATTACAATTTTTTAAATGGCATACATTTTTTGCCATTTCAATGCCTACTGGAAATTCGACATTACTTTGCAATCCAATAGTAAATTCTACCAACAAGCTATTTATAAGGTTAGCATTAACAGCATCCATGCCACTTAATTCTTAAGTGGATATTTATATCAGAAGCCGAATCTTGTGAAAATTGAATATATGCCCTCGTTATGTTCTAAAATACTCGCATTTTTTATCGAAGAAAATGCACAACTTCGAACTTGTATTATACTGGAATTAAATTGGTTATAAAATTGCATGCCCAAAACTTTTCTAAAAAATCTCTTAAAAAATTTTCCATTTGGATAGCAGATTTTTGAAATTGGTTGAATTTTCGCGAAAATCGCATTTACTGAAAAATTTTACATGGCAAGTAACGATTCAGCATGATTCGTTTATGAATTTTGAATGAGCCGTAAATTACGATAATGTGAACATTAGGGTGGTCCTTAAAAGATCAAATGAGCGATTTTTTTCAGTCTCACCAACACGGTCACAGATATCACTTACAAATTTTGGTCCCGATGGGAGACGGTTAAGGCGTTTCGCACAGGTGCCAAAGTTCAGATTATTCTATAGAGACTCAAAAAATTAAAATTAATTTTTTTCCCAACTCATACCCAAAATCGATACTACCGTAGTGGAAGATATGACATATAAATTTTGGTCCCGATTGGAGTATTTTAAGGCGTCCCGCAATGGGGTCCAGGGCCAGATGCTCCATGGAGACTCCAAAAATTAAAAATATATTATTCATTTAATACCCAGAATCGATACTACTTAAGTCGAAGATATCGCATACAAATTTTGGTTCCGATTGGAGTCGGTTAAGACGTCTTCATAGAGTAACCTGAATTTTTACCCCTGTGCGACACGCCTTAACCGTCTCCAATCGGGACCAAAATTTATATGTGATTGCTTCGACTATAGTAGCATCGACGTAGGGGTTGAGGCTTAGGAAATCTGATATAAAAATTTGCTTCCTACATTTAACTCTTTAAACGCTAGTGTTACATATATGTAACGCTCGAATTTCGCGGACTAATATTGTTGTTATGAAAATTTTTATTACATAAAGATTCACGAGTTTTACATATATTTTTCAGGTCCTATAGACACCCCTTGATATAGGTCGAAACTTTTTATTATGGCTTTTTTACATATCCTCTCTTTTAGTATCCTCCAAAATTTGGTTCCTCTAAATTTCCTCTTTTGCTTTCGCGTTTAATGACCACCCTAGTGAACATGCTTTATAAAATGTGTTTTCTGTTCAACATTTTAAAATTGCTAATACGGAAACCCCGAACATTACACAGTTTAAAAAAATCATGTTACTTTTTTCTTTGTGTAGTTAATTTAACCTTATTTGACAAGTTGACCCGGTTCCGCCCCCAACCAAAAGTCTGTATTCGCCACTGCCCATAATACCATGTTACAACTCAACTATTTTCAAAGTTGTGAATGAAATCCTCTCTCTCTAAAGGGTATAGGATCAAAAATAATGGCAAAAATGGGCTATATCCATGGGAAAGGATTAGGTTCAGATGGAGATGGCATTATCATCCCCGTGACAGCGAAAATTTTGCCGCAAGGATGCTCTCTCGATCGCTGTATGGAGTTGCGTGAAGCAGCTAACGGTGATAAGGATTTCTTTAGTGTAGAGAAAAAAGTGCGACTTCAAAAGAAAAGGCAAGTCAATTACAATACAAAGGCGTATGAGCGCGAGGCTCAACGAAAAGATGTATTCACATTCATAAACGATAAGATATTGCGAGGAGGTTTTGATCTGAAAGACACACAGAAAAAAACCTCTCTAAGCAGCGAGACCACAAAATCTTTGAATGTGGCCAGCGTGCGTATTGCTGATGATATACGACGGAAGGAGAGGGAAATTACAAAGTTACGACAATCAATGAGTAGAAATACCAGCAGCTCAGACCTTCACAAACGATCAAAACAGCAATTGAAAATAAAAATGCAGGAATTGACAGCTTTACGAAAAGAGGAAACTAACCTTTCCCAAGAGCAAGCATCAAGAAAAACAAAAGATAAATTATGTGTATTTTAGTCATATATGTAATACAGTAATACTTCTATAGCGGCTGTACGTTGAAAGCACATCCGCCAACATTAGAGGTCAGATATATAATGTTATACCGAGAAAAGCAACCAGCCAATGTACTCAGAATGACGTTTTAAAACAATAAAAAATCAGGAGCGGTGCAGTAACCGTCAATATTTTACAAAATTAAATTTTAATTTTAAAAGCAAAAAAAATAAAAAATGGTGCCGAGCTGTGCTGTTTGTAGAAGCAAAAAAGTAAGGAAAATGAAATCGTATTGCATGCGTCACTATGTTGTACTACTTGAACAGCTGTCCCTATCTACTATCTATCTACAGGCCCAGGGGGCCACCAAGGCTACCAATCCTGAGTCGGTTGCAGCCTCAATTAGAAGAAGAGTCTACGGCTCTCGAGGTCTTACCAGAGACTTAAACTTGGTACCACGGGGAGTAGGGGCCCCCATGGTATACTGTATTTACTATGGCCTACTCTTGGTTGTGGCCCCTCGGGAGTAACTTGGTTTTGTGGTTTAATACCTAAATGCGGGTAGAACCGGTAATGGTTCAATGTGGAGTTGCATTGCAACCGGATGCCGAAATCCAGAGAACGGCAGAGGCCTCGAACCCTACCAAGGTGGTTAATGTATCCAATCCACATCGCCTTTTGGTACCGAAAGTGTTTGCATTTCTTCGAGGTGCTTGCATTTCGGTGAAGTGCTTGCATTTCGGGGCGCTCATCATCGCATTGAGTTGATACATTGTGCTTGTCGGGCACACGTGGGGTTAGTTTGTTTTAAACAACAGGTATCCACGTTAAACCCTCACGCATCTGTCCCTACCTACTGGCCCCGCGGTCACCGCGTAAGCGGAGGTACGGGTGTGACAACCCCGGGCACCCCAGTCAAAGGCTACCAGTCCCGAGTCGGTGAAGGCTCAACTGGTAGAAGTGTCTACGACTTTCGAAAGCAGGTTTGCGTGACTTCAAATCCTTTCTAATTTAAAATCCGCTTTTAATTAACAAATATATTTGATTTGTTGACCAAGTAACAAATAAATTTCAAATCCTTTCTGATTTAAAATCCACTTTTAATTAACAAATATATAAGATTTGTGATTTGGTTTGTTGACCAAATAAAAATAAAATTTATTTGTGATTTGATTTGTCAACCAAATAAGCAATACATTTTATTCGTGATTTGCTTGGTCAACCAATTAAAAGATAAGTTTTATTTGAGATTTCCTTGGTCAACCAAATAAAAGATAAGTTTTATTTGTTATTTGATTTGTCAACCAAATAAGAAATCAAAGTTATTTGTGCTTCAAATCGCCCTCCAAATTAGAAATCAAATTTATTTGTGATTTGATTTGTAGAGCGAATCATTTGATTTGTGATTTTTCAACGAAATAATACTCTTTTATGCAACGCAACTACTTCGGGATTTTTGGGACTAATTCGGAATTTTTGGGACTATTTCGGGTTTTTTGAGACTACTTCGAGATTTTTGGGGCTCTCGGGATCTTCGAGATTTTTGGGAACAATTCAGAATTTTCGCGACTATTTCGGGTTTTTCGCGACCAATTCGAGATTTTCGGGGTTCTCGGGAATATATCGCGATTTTCGAGATTTCGGAATTTTCGAGATTTATTCGGGATTTTCGGGACTATTACGGGTTTTTCAAGACTACTTCGAGATTTTCGGGGCTCTCGGGACCATATCGGGATTTTTGGGACCAATTCGGAATTTTTCTACTGTTTCGAGATTTTTGGGACCAATTCGGAATTTTTCTACTACTTCGAGATTTTTGGGACCAATTCGGAATTTTTCTACTGCTTCGAGAATATCGGGGTTCTCGGGAATATATTCGTGATTTTTGGACAATTTCGGGATTTTCGGAATATTTTCGGGATTTTCGGGTCTATTTCGAGTTTTTCGAGACTACTTCGAGATTTTTGGGTTTATCGGGACCATATTGTGATCTTTGGGACAACTTCGAGATTTTTGAGACCAATTCGAATGCCTCGGGACTATTTCGAGCTTTTCGAGACTATTTCCAGATTTTCGGGGTTCTTAGCGAGTCGGGTGAGTCTGGCAGGTGGAGCTGGTCTGGCTGGCGAGCATTACTCCGGCCTGTTAATGGTGCGGCCCTCGGAGAGTAACGTGGTGGCTGTGGGTTACCACCCAAATGCGAGTAGAGCCCGCAAGGGTTCAATGTGGAGTTGCATTGCAACCGGATGTCAAGATTTAGAGAGCGTCAGAGGTTTAGGTAGTCCTCGGCCCTAGCAAGGTGGTAAGTGTGTCCACCACACACTGTACTGAAGTGCTGCATTTCAAGGTAAGAACGAATCCGTTGTGCTAAGTGCGGGCACCGTGATCCTAAGCCTTGCTGGCAGAGAATCATAATAAACCTACACACAGCTGTCACTATTTACTCGCTTCAGTTGGGGCGATCGCAGCGTAGGGACGAGTTACGGAAGGATTTTAGTTGTGATTATTGGCGTTTTTCTTTTCGGTAGTATTTGTTTACTAGTTGGTGCGCGGTGCCGTTAGTGGGTAATTGGTAAACAAGTTCTTTATCAATTTTGTGTATAAGTGCCGCTACTTTGGAGCGTGGGTTGTGCTTGGTAGATATTGACCACGGTACTTTTTACAAATTACAAACAGCTAGCACCTGGTGATTGTCCTAATGCCAAAGTGAAGTGACTTGTGGACCACTTGGGTTACAGGTGGGCCAGTTGGTAACCACTTTGGGACCACTTGGCCTTTTTTTGGCTCCAGTGGCTGTTTCGGGCGTGTTTTGGACGCTATAAGTGCCGTGTTTTCTGTTTTCGGTTATGGTTGGGTTTTTCGGGGCTGAAAACGGTTGATTTCGGGATTTTCGCGATTTCGGTGGATTTCCGGCGTTTTCTTTGCTCTAGTGGTCGTTTTGAAGGGTTTTAAGGCCTTTTAAGGTGTTTTTTTTTCCTATTTTGGACGCTGTGAGTGCCCCATTGTCGGGTTTTCGGACGCGTGATGACAAGAAGGTGCGTTTTGCGTTTTTTGGGAGCTTCGGGTCGTGATTCTACGGGTGTCGCTGCACTTATAAAGATACCAAGGGTAAAAGTACAGAGATACGTAGTAGGCGATGTTAAGTCGTTGAAGGTGATCACCTATACATTTAGCGGGTTCGTTCTCTGGAAGGAGAGTCCGGATGGGACAACTAATGTTGTGTTGGAGGGTACGGACAACAGGGGGGTGTTACATCAAATGCCTGGAGGAGATGCTGACGCCCTGCTGCTTCAGATGTATGGTCTTCGACCATCGAGTGGCTGAGTGCAAAGCTAAGAGGAATGTTTGTCGGAGGTGTGGACAGGAAAGGCACCGTGAGGCAGGTTGAGGTAATGCTCCGGAGGTGTAGAACTACCGGGGCGGATAATCTGTCCCAGCTTAGGTGTCAGTATGCTAGTCAGAACGAAGGAGGAGGACTGGTTGAGATTTGTAGGGGAAATAGAGACGATTCTTGGGGACAGGTTTACAAGATCTCTACGTTGTCAGCGTGGGGGGAGTGTGCAGGGCTCTGTTAGGAACGTTCTTTCCGAGGGCGGAGGTGCAGGTACCTTCTGCACAGGAGGTGCCTGTACCCACACTAGATGATGAGGAGCTGGGGTATGCGTTTGGCCTGGTGAGGTCTAAAAGGTCTCCAGGTTTTGATGGGTCGGTCGGAGAGATGTACAAATGCTTGTGAAGTTCATCCCGGAATACTTGGTGGTCATTTATGATAAGTGCATATGGGAGGGTTATTTTCCACGTGAGTGGAAAATTGCTAGGGTCGTTCCTCTCCTGAAGTCGCCTGATAGGATCAGGAGTAATCCTGCTTCTTATCGGGACATCAACCTCCTTCCAGTGCTTCGAGAGTTACCGCGGGATAGCATGTCGGATAGGCAGTATGGGTTTAGGAAAGGGTGTAGTATAGAGGATGCATGGTTGAATGTTCAGAGCTCAGTATATCCAGTAAAAAAACTGTTGTGAAGTCCTTTATGGGGATAAAGTTTCCAGAGATGAAATTTTAGGTAGCACACAATTTCTTATACGCATGGTTGCTTTTCAGCACTAATTAAAGAAACTTGAGAAATATTTAAAAAATGCATATTATTTTTTGAAAAAAAATCTATATAATGTATCTACTATCAATAATAATTGAAGGGGTTAGAATCAAAAGGATCTAAGTAGGTCTGACATTGTTTTGAGATAATTAAGGTTAAAGGTGATTACTTATTGTGTAAATTCTGGGTAAATGCATTTGAAATGGCTCTTGCCTGGCCAATAGATGGACCTACAATGTCTTAAATGACTTGGATCTCTTTGTCACCAAATAAACACTAGGGCAATACATCTAAACGCGTAAATGACTCGTAACCATGTAAACCTCGCAAACTTAATTTTGTATGGAAAACCGGTTTATTTACGAGGTTTACGCGGTTACGAGTCATTTACGCGTTTACATGAATACCCATAAAATATTTTTGTTCCCTTTGGTCTTCAACACGCTACCCGCGTGTTCAGAAAATATATTATTTATAATGGGTTTTTATACAATGTTCGTTTACAGATATGAAGCTATTGATACATGTACAAAAATCATCAGAATACTGCTTATTACATTTCTTTAAAATTGTTGTACAAAAATAATATGGCCTGCTAATGGATACAGGCAATTGTGGTCATAAGATCTAATTGTATTGTACCTAAATGAACAAATTTATGCGTTAAACTCTTTTAAAGTGCTGATAATAAATATTATGAATTTCTTAAAGGATTCAGTGAGTTGTTTGTGAGCGCTGATCGCAACCATGTTGAATGCTGGAATTTGATGATGTTCGCACAGTAGATTGTGACTCCGTCTTTCTCTCGCATAACGTGGACAGTCGTGTAGTAGGTGATCCAAGGTTTGTGATGTTTCACCATCACATGGACAGCAATCTTGGTCTGTTATGTTAAATCGTTTAAGGTACTGTTTGTGATAGCCATGCCCATGTAAGAATTTGAGTTAACTCGAAGGAAATTCCAAAGGCGTCCGCGTAAATTTTTGCCTCACTCGGTGATTTGAAGAAGATTTTCGTTGTTTTGCCGGTATTTGCCTCTTCGTATCCTTCTGCCATTTAGCTTCAGTTTGTAAACGAATTTCACGTTTCGCATAGCTCAGCGGGAACTGCGA